AGAGGTCATCTCGGCCAGCTGTGTGTGCTTAGGCAGGACCAAATAAACCTAGACCATCCCAGACAAGTGTTTGTCCAACCTCCTTCTTAAAAACCTCCAGTGATGGGGATTCCACAACCTCCCTTGGAAGCCTATTCCAGAGTTTAACTACCCTGATAGTTAGAAAGTTTTTCCCCCGATATCTAACCTAAATTACCCTTGCTGCAGATTAAACCAATTACCTCTTGTCCTACCTTCATGTACCTGGAGAACAATTGATCATCCTCCTCTTCATAACAGCATTTAACATATTTGAAGACTTATCAGCTCACCCCCTCCTTAGTCTTCTTTTCTGAAGACTAAACATGCCCATTTTTTTAACTTTTTCTCAGATGTCAGGTTTTTCTAAACCTTTTATTTTTGTTGCTCTCTTCTGGATACTCTCCAATTTGTCCCCATGTTTCCTAAAGTATGGCACCCAGAACTGGATACAGTACTCCAGCTGAGACCTCATCAGTAAAGTCAATTCCCTCCTATGTTTGACTTTCAACACTCCTGTTACCTGATATTAGCCTTTTTTTGCAACTGCATCATATCATGGACTCCTATTCCAATTTGTGATCCACTAGAACCTCTAGATCCTTTTCAGCAGTACTGCCACCTAGCCAGTTATTCCCCATTTTATAGTTGTTCATTTGATTTTTCCTTCCTAGAAATCGCACTTCGCACTTGCCTTTATTGGCTTTCATCTTGTTGAAGGTTCTTTTCAATTCTAATCCTGTCCTCTAAAGTGCTTGCAATCCCTGCCGGCTTGGTGTCATCCACAAATTTTATAAAAGTGTATTTTCCACTCCATTCTCCCACGTCATTCATGAAAATATCGACTAGTACCAGACCCAGAACAGACCCCTGTGGGACCCTCTAGATACACCCTCCCAGTCTGACAGAGAACCATAACTACTCTGAATATGATCTTTCAACCAGTTGTGCACCCACCTTCCTGTCATCTAGATCATGTTTTCCTAGCTTATGAGTCAGCTATGGATGAGGCTGGGGAAGCCACCAGCGAGGAATGTGACACTCTGTAACCTGCTTCTGATTGATCCTGGGATGCAACTGGGAGAGCCACCAGAAGGGAGCGTTACTTCCTCGGCTTGCACAGCTGCCGTCAGGCCCAATGGTTCACAGATGACAACAGCTTCCTCTCCTCCCACCCCCAACTCCTCCCTGCCCATTCTGCTCTCACTGGGACAACGGAAGAGACCATGATGTTGCACTGAAGCTTAGAAACCAGCCTCCAGCCCCTCCTGAAACTCATTTGTGCAATGCAAAGCAGGGTGTGGGGGTGGCAGAGGCTAAGATCCTCAACTTGCTGAGCCGCTAGAGCGGATGCGGAGAAAGAAAGTAAACCCCAGTGGTGAATAACAAAAAACAGTTGCTGACGAAGTGCGAGTAGCAGCTGTTGCTCATCCCTTCTCAAGGTGGCTGAATGGCAACAGGGAGTTTCCCTAGATCGTATTGGGAGACAACACCCTAAGTTTAGCTTATTTTTCAGGAATACAAACCAATAATGAGAAATCTCAGCAGGTTTGGAGGCTCCAGTGGAATATGCACCTGAATTCTCTGGGGTTTGCCCAGACGACTTTTGTTGGGAAGTCAGCCTGGATATCTTGCCAGATCTGAATTTCTCACAAGATTCCAAATTCCTTCTAGGCTTCTGCTGGCTCAGGAATTGGTTATACTCACAGAACTTCAGCACTTCCCAAAAGGCACAGACAACAGTCACAACTAACAAAAATGTTTGCCAAATTCTTTAGAGCCTGAGGAGGAAAAAATTAGATTTAGATCAGTTTTCATTTTAGGGAAAGGCTCAGAAGGGGCCCCACCTACAGCTCTGCCAATGCACCTCAGTCCTGATCTGCTGCAGCACCCTCTGCTATACTGTACTGGGCCCCAGACAGCTCTGCCAATACAGCTCATACATGACTGTTAACTGTGTTACCGTATGGTAGGGGGTGGTTGCATGGTATCCACATATCGGGGAAATGAATCAGGGAAAGAATGATTTGCACTTGAAGAACACACACTGTTGCAGGAACATTGTGTATGGGGAAATGAATGGCTAGGTGAAATATACTTAAATATTCCTCTCCCGATGGTATTTCATTCCCCGACACAGTGAACATTTTACCTACCAGGAAGGTTAGGACCAGAGGGAAGGAATGACGCAGACTAGAACAGGCAGAAGTTAAGGAGCCCTCTTCTATCCCAAAGCATATGGGTGGCCAAAGCCAAAGGTTGCATGGAAACAATTTTACTTTATCAGAGACTAAAAATGTCTGTGTAAATACCATACAGCTGGCTAACAAGGCAGATTTAATCTCAGCCTCCCCCATACAAGATCATAGAGCAAGCAGGTCAGTTGCAGCCCAGGTTACATTTAAAGAACACTTTGTGGTTAAAGCCATCCCTCCCGTCCTTTTATTGGGCTGAATATTTTCACTGTGCAGCTGCTTTTAGTATTCTTTTATTATTAGTTTAAATTACAGCAGGACCTCCCTAATTCACCTGAACGACTGGGAGAGCTGCTGAGAATGACTCACCACCTGGGAGAACTGGGGTTGGGGAGGAAGCAAACAAACTATATAGCACCGTTGGTCAGTTGAGGAGTGGGGTTTAATTTTAAATCTCTGTAGCACATGTTCTGTGGTATAATGAAATCTCCCTACAGTGCATTGCTATCCAATTTTTGCTAGAACTGGGACAAGAAGAATGCTAACAAAAGTTTTTGGAAGGATATAAAACCTCATGTTGCAGGACTTAAGCAAATCTCTATCTATTAGAGATCAGGGAGAGAACTAATGTAATGGTTCCACATCTGCCTGCTGTGGGGTTCTTGCACTTCCCACTGAAGCAGTTGGTACTAGCTATGCTGGTGGCAAGATACTGGACTAGATGGACCTCGGGTCTGCTTGAATCTGACAGTTCCTAGACCACTGTATGGGTAAGCATGTGTAGTAAGCATGTGTATATGCACATTCTGGCATGGGCCGATTATTGAGCTTCTACTAGGATGCAAAGTTCAAAACTTAACCCCCAACTAGGAGTCTGTTTGATGCAACATGCCACATGTATACAGGCTCTGAGATTCCTATTCATCAAAGCGCTTAAGGATATGCTCAAATTTAAGCATGTGTTTTAGCCTAATTAAAGTCAATAAAACAATTACAGTTTCAGCACATAGGGAGGTGCTTTGCCAAGTTGGAGCACACAAAGCAGTGCTCTTGTAGTAGGCTCGCACTCCAAGCCCCTGTTAAACTGGAGTTAAGGTTGCATGTTCATAGCAGTAACGTACGGGAGGAAAACCCTTCTTAAAACTTTACAAAACCATCTGGTAGAATACAAGCAAATTCCAAATTAAGAATGCATTTAAAAACACTGAAAAAGTAAGTAAATGCACAGCAAAGAGGTTTGATTTGCCTCTCATTATAATAGTTTTGCATCAGAATATCTAAATAAGAGGAGAATCAGGCCACATGACTTTCAGACAACCTTCAATCCGCCCCTACGTGCCTGTTTGACCTTCACTCAGATTCGCAGGCACTTGAGTTTTGTCTGCTCGGGGGAAGCTTAAATAGTCAAACTGATTCCAACATCAGGTCCTTTGAACCAGTGTTAAAACTGGTGGGAACCATTTAGTGTAGCAACCTAGCACTCTGGCAGCTCCAGCTGTTTTTAGGACTGTTTCAGTCAGACTTGATTTTCAGAAGGTTGAACAAAAATGGTTATGGGAGGAGGGGGAGACTCAGCTCTGGCTGGAGGGCCTTGTCCGTACAACAATTCACAGTGGTTTTAACTCTGGTGCTAGAACCATTCTAAATTTTCTGATAGCTTTCCCCCAATCTGGCCACAGCCTCAGGGCCGTCAGTCCAGTTATGGAGCTTAAGATCCTGTTTACACTGCAAATCAGATCTATCAGCTGTAAGAGGGTCTCCTGAGCTGACTGTAATTGTAACACCACCACCAAGTTGGGTCATCTGTAGGGTTGAATCTGGCACCACTGCATCTAAAAGCATGAACTTCTAGTGGTTGAACTAAAAGGACCAGGTATGTCATCTCAGAGAGAGTAGCAGACTTCAACCTTTATACCTGGTCTAGCTACTAGAAGATAAAGAACTACACTGTGTCAGTTAGTACAAGTTACACCGTTATGGCCTTTAGAAGAGGAAGGATACTCACTATGGCCTTATCTACACTAGGAAATGTAGGGCTCCTAAGTTACTGCTGGTGTGTCTCTTTGTGGTAGTAACAGTGGAAAGTGGAATGTAAATGGGGCTGTAGTGTTCTTACCACTGTAGTCAACCAGCCCTGCACGGAGTAAGGAAACGCCAGAAAGAAGAGGACAACAGGCAACACAAGCATATGTTAGCACAGCAGAGTACTAGTGCTACTGGGATGGCTGCCATCTTGGTCATGACCAAGGCGTGACCCCAGGACTTCTGGACTTCGGAGCATGAACCCCATAATATGAGTCAAAGGGTACATGTTTTGGATCCAGAAGCTGTAACAGGCTCACTACCTCTTCAGGTAAGGTACAAACGGGACACTAAACACTGGGTTATGCTATCTTCACCACCTCCACAGTACAGGACCAAGTCTCTTGCTACTGTGTTTATCAGCAATCTGAATGAATGCCAGAAGGACAAGTTAAGAGTCACATCAGGAGTTGTACTTAGGTCAAGTGGTTTCCTGTATGTAAGAACATGGGACCTACCATATCAGAGTAGACCAGTGGTCTCTTGAGCTTAACAACATCTCTTCAACAGTGACTAATATCCAGTACTTCAGAGAAAGTTATTCTTAAAAAAATCCCTTGCACTTAGTTGTGCAACTCTGTACCATCTCTTCCACCACAGCTAGCAATCAACTTATACCCTAAGGCATGGGTACGAAGACTAATAAACCAGCCAGAATAAGAGTTATTCTTCTTCATGGGAAGATCTAGTCTTTTTATTAAAAACAACCTTACAAACAGCTCTTTCCTGTTCATTTTGTCACAGTTTCCTTTCATAGAAGTTTAAAGGTCCTCAGGTCATTCCAATCCATCCCCCTGTAAGGCAGTACAGTCCTTATAATGTGTTTTATCTAGCTTTCAAAGACCCATGAGGTTTCCACCACTTCCCTCAGGACACTGTTGCATAATCTAACAGAGCTTTCTGTAGCAGCCTGACATTTCACAAAAGCCCCTCAGTCCAAACATGCAGCCACTGCGAACATCTGAAGAGAACTTCTCGCTCTTCGGTCCCACACACATTGATGGAAGCATTGTGGTTTCCAGCTCACGAAATGCATGGAATGTCCCACTGGATACTGCTTCTGGGTGATCCCCAAGCGGAAAGCCGCCTACCAGAGCTCCAGTTCCCACTCTGGTTCAAATACATGTGGTTTTAACAAATGTTATCAGATCAACTTAACAGTTCTATGTTATGCTATAAATAGAAACCAGGGCTGCATGTGATTCAGGAGAAATATGAAGATCATGTTAATGAGGCTTATAATAGTCAAGCCATTTCCTTAAACATTGGATTCCCAGGGCTGCTGGCATAGCCATAACTAGGGCATTTTAGCACCCGAGGGGAGCAGCCATATTTGTGCCCCCTACCATTTTCCCCTTCATTTCTCCACTCCCTTTTTCCGCCCTCACGGCTTTGCATCCTGGGGGACTGTCCTGCTCACGCTGGTTATGGCTGTGGCTGCTGGGAAGGTGGGAGCCTGGAGAGTTCTCCCAGTGGGCAGGGGACCACACAGGCGAGTTGGCCAACCTGCCTGCTTTCCATCAAAACTTACAACAGAATTCAGTAAAACTTTCAGCTTTCACCAAGTGCCCGCAGAACATTTTGATCCTGATGAATCAACATGTCCTGTTGGACAATTTTTCACTAGCTCTAGTCATCACCTGAAACCCCAGTGAAACACAGGTAGGAATATATTTATTTTAATATAAATATTTTATAAAAAGTGTCTTCAAGCCAAGCTTCTTCCAAGCAGTTTCCATGTTCTTTGTGAAGGCATCACCATTTAGATGCTATATGGTCCAACAGGCAGGGTTGAGACATCTGGATTCTATTCCTAGCTGCCAATTACTGGCTGTGCGACCTTGGGTAAGCCACTTTGTCTCAATTTCCCCTCCCATCTTTGGCTGGGAGCTCCAGGTAAAACTGTAATAAAGAACATTATAGCTGATCTCTGGCTCATGGCAATATCCATCAGACCACACACACTATAAATCAGTGTACAGGAGTATCTTCCACATCCAGTCTGCTCATGGGTACCCTAAACTGGGCTAGTTAGATGTATACATCACAGTTTCATTGGCCCATGTCCATCCCTGCATGGGTATAATCCCCTTCCATTTACCCACACACACTCTGAAGTTCCGTTTGTGGATGCACGCTGCATAGTGGGTTGGTTCTGCCTCAGCAGGTCAATGATTTCTGTTTGCATATTCAGTAGTGTTAGGTTTAACTGGTGTAAAGCAGCTGGAGTGCTCTGCAGGTGCTATATAGTTGGATTAAGTAACAATTTTAAGAACTGCTCTAGACCTATGAATATCTCTGCTCGCTGCACTCTGGCGTAGCCTTCATATCCCTCTCGGATAACTTGAACCTTGGTGTCTGTGCATAAGCAAGCCACATATCCATCTGCCTACAGGCAACATTAACTCATAAGCAGTATGTGGTGGCTCCCATGTACCAGTCTGCCCATGAACACAGAGAAGCATCATGGGGATGGATATCCACCATGTATCCACTGGCACTCAGAACCAGTCGACAGCCACTGTGCTTTCAAACCTCTCTCTCACTGAAAGATGTGCTTATTGAAATTACAACAGCATTAGCCAAGGGGCATTATCTGAAGCTGTGTTTTCATCCCTGGCAGCTCTGCCCCAAACATAGTGCCCAGCCCCGATCATGTAGAGAATGCTGCTACTCACCAGCCAGAGAGATGAAGGAGCAGCACATAACTTCCTTTACTCAAACATTTCCCAGGAGCTCCCTCATTCATTGACATCTATGGACCTGCTCCAGCCTTTCCCCTCAACCTCATCTCTCTTTGCTCTGGATTTTGGAGAGATTTGGTGCTGGATTCACCAATAAATAGCTGTTTCACACTGCTTCCAATTATGACAAGCAGCCATTAAATGCAGCTTGCAGGAAGACTGGTCTGCTCTCTAAGATGGTCCCTGTTGCCATAGTATCTGAGCTCCTCACAAATGTTTAATTTCCCCTCACAACCACCCCCTGAGGCAGGGCAGTGCTATTATGCCCTTATTAGAGGGGGAGGCCCGGAGAGAGACAACAGGGCACATCTGCACAGCAAAAAACCAAAAGCCCTGCAGCAGCGAGCCTCAGAGCCCGGGTCCACTGATTCAGGCTCACGCTACCGAGCTAAAAATAGTAGTGTGGATGCGCCCACTTGGGCGGGAAACCAGATCCACCCTGGGTTTCAGAGCCCGGGCTCCAGTCTGAGCAGTAACGTCTACACTGCTATTTTTAGTCCCATATCATGAGTTTGAGTCAATTGACCTGGGCTCTGAGACTCTGCCATGGTTTGGTGGTGGGGTGTTTGGTTTTTTTCTGTGTAGACATACCTTAAGTGACTTGGCACGATCACACAAAGTCCACTCTGGAACAGGGAATTGAGCCCAGGGCCAAGCTACCATGCTGCCTCCTGGACCCTCCTTCCTTGTGTTTAAGGCACTACACTGGGACTCAGGAAAACTGGTTTCAATCCCAAACTCTATTTAGTGTCTTTGTCTCAGTTCCCTATTCATAAAATGGGAACAATGCTCCATTTCTGCTTCGCTGGCCTGTTCTGTTCAGATTGAAAGCTCTTCAGGACAAGGACTGCCTCTTACTCAGGGCCCTGATCTTGGGTGATGCTCTGAGGTGTCACCATAAGACAGACAATAAATTAAGCTGTGTTGGCTGCTGCTTTGTCTCTCTGAAGCAACAAAAGCAGCGAGAGTGTACTGGTGAAATGGGCCCTGTGTTTTTTGGTCTAATTCTTAGACAAAGGCCAGAAGGGACCATTGTAATCCTCTAGTCTGACTTCCTGTTTAACACAAGCCAGCACACAGGACTTCCCTGAATTAATTCCTGCTCGAAGTACAGCACCTCTTAGAAAAACATTTAACCTCGAGCGAGCAGGTTTTGGTGATGGAAAATCCACCACAACCCTTGGTAAATTATTCTGGTGGTTTTAATTAACCTGTTACAAATGTTCACCTTAATTCTAGTCTAAATTTGGTTAGCTTCCATTACAAGCCATTGAACCTTGTTATAACTTCTTCATCTGCTTCATTAATGATAGAGGGGTCTTCAAATTTCTGGTTCCCATGTAGGTACTTTTAAGTGGATCAAATCACCCCGTAATAATCTTTTTGATAAACTAGATGAAAGTGATCTGTACCCCATTTGAACTCAGAGGATTTCTTTGTCAGAATCACATCCTATATAATCTCTTGCAAACATGCTTGAGACTACACCTAAGATTTTTCTGTACCATCTCTCCCTGCAGCACCCAAAGGCCAGATCCTGCAACTGGATCTGCAAGGGTCATCCCCCAGCTGCATGGCCAAGCCTCGCCCCCCACCATAATGGGGCTCTGTGGGGGTGCAGCAATCTGCCCTTTTGCAACTGCTCCACAACGGCCAGAACAGTGCAGACAGATCCTTAATGAACAAACATGGCTCAGTTGTTGTACTACAAGGTGGCTAAGAAGCTAGAGAGGAAACACCAGCAGCATAAATATCCTCTCCTCCTCTTTGTTTTGGGCCTGGAGGCTCAGCGATTGAGTTCATTTTCCAGAAGGGACAAAGCTAGGGTGACCAGATAGCAACTGGGAAAAAACGGGACAGAGGGTGGGGGGGTAATAGGCGCCTATATAAGAAAAAGTCCCAAAAAATGGGACAGTCCCTTTAAAAACGGGACATCTGGTCACCCTAGACCAGGGGTGGACAAACTTTTTGGCCTGAGGGCCACACCAGGGTGAGAAACTGTAGGGAAGGCTGTGCCTCCCAAACAGCCTGGCCCCCTCCCACTATTCGCCCCCTCCCACTTCCAGCCCCCTGACTGCCCCCGTTAATGCTCTCCCATCCAACCCCCCCACTCCTTGTCTCCTGACTGCCCCCTCCTGGGACCCCCTGCCCCACCCCCTATCCAACCCCCCCGCTGCCTATCCCCTGACCTATCCAAACCCCTGCCCGGCCCCCTGGGACTCCCACACCCTATCCAACCCCCCGTTCTCCGACCCCTGACTGCCCCAGAACCTCCACCCCATCCAACCGCCCCCTGCTCCCTGACCCCTGATTGACCCCTGGGACCCCCCCACCCCTAACTGCCCCCGGAACCCCCTACCCAACCCCTGGACCGCCACACACGCACACACTCACACCGCCGCCCCTTTACAATGCCGCTCAGAGCGGCAGGAGCTCGCAGCCCCGCTGCCCACGTGGAGGCATAACTCCAGAGGAGGGGGAACAGCAGGGGAGGGTGAGCTTCGTGGGCCAGGAGCTCATGGGCCAGGCAGGACGGTCCTGCAAGCCGGATGTGGCCTGTAGTTTGCCCACCTCTGCCCTAGACAAAGCACTTAGTTCTGATGGGCAGGGCCAGGAGGGATCTCCTCCTGGGGAACATTTTTTAAACTCCCCGCCACACAGTTAACTCCATAGGAAAAAGAATGCTCTCTAGCAAAACCTTTTATGAGCCCAGGACAAAAGCCACCTCTGGAAGGGAGGTGTGAGCACTATCTTGGGAAGATGAACATCCGAAGTTGGGAAGTCTTCCCCTTTCTCCCCCACTCCTTCCATCTGAACACAGTGTAGGCTAAGATGAAAGGGACCCTTGTCCATGAGCTACATTGCACAAAGATTCCAAACTCCAGACCCAGACAGTTATAAAACTGCTGCCCATTACACAATGGAGTCACCCAGTCAAAATGCTAATGTGACTGCATCACAGATCATAACTGCCCTTGGATCATCTCATTCATTATACTTGTGTAATGGGCAGCAAACTCTTAAAAAGACAGAGTCAGTATTTACCCAGAACCATAGGAAATAAGACCAGCTCCTGCAGCTCTGATTGTCACTAAAATTGAACCCCGATTAGCTTTCAGGATCCACCTTTCCACATCTTTCTGATTTATTCCCTGCCATTCTCTGGGCCACACGTTGTGACACCTGTCGTACCAGCTGAAGAGGCTGGGGGAAATCTTACCCTGGAGACTGTTAAGCCTCTTCCACATCAAGCACAGGGGTGACTGCAGAGACCTGAGCAGCAGAGGACTATGCTGGTGGTAACTGCGTTCCAAGCCTAGGATGCCCAATACAGGAGCACTGTCACCTGGCCAGACCACTTTCTTCACCTATATGTTCTCACAGCTTTATCACCCGGGGCATCCTGTTTGCCTATTTGCACCACTGGTTGCTGTGAGCCCTCTGATATTTCTAAGATATCTGTCATCATGGTATCAAGGCCACTGGTACAAACCAGCACACTAAGACTTGCCTAGACTAATTGCTGGACTTTCAGTGTCAATGTTTAACTTCTACATTTCACAGAGATAGAAGAACCTGGGATGGTCTCTCAGGCCACCGTCCAACCTATACCCCTCTGCAAACAGAAGAAATTCTGCTACTGTAATGCTGTAGAGATTTTACATGCAGATGGGTCCGTTTCCTGAACAGAACTTCCAGAAAGCAGAAGCTCCGGGGCAGAGTTCTGGTTTGTCCCACTAAAAAGATAGGGGCCAAGACGCTAAGTTTGGATCCAGATCTAAACTTCCCGAAGTTACAGGGTGTTTGCAGAGCAGGGTGGTTAACTCAGGCATCTCTCTGATTGCCTCTATCCTATTCCAGACCATGCTTCTACTGAAGACTATTACATTATGCAGTTTACTCTGTTGCCTTCAATTTCCTGGACAGGTACAAAGCATTTTCTTAGGTCTAGCTCAACTTTTCTCAATGTTTAGCTTGAAGTCATTGCCTTTGGCTTCACCCACTGCAGCTACAGATTTTGACTAGAGCACTCCCATTCATATCATGGGACTGACCTGTGTGATGGGCTGAGGAGACTGATCTTCCCTCATCTGTTAGCAACAGCCATCCTCATCAGGTCTCATCCTCCACCCTCTTCTCCCGAGCCAGTATAAGCCTTGTTAAGGGTTCCAGGTACAGCCAGTTAAAGGTAGCACATTCAGTTACAATAAGGTATGGAGATTCCTGAGTCTTTTCCAACCTTAGCTGCCAGGCTTTCAAGTCAACAAGCCCACTGCTACTTTGCTTCCAGCTAAACACAGTTGCTGGAGCACTGGAACCTCAAGTGCTGTAGGACCTGACGTTTGTCCTGGCAACATACTAATTCTTCTGCTTAAGTCTCTGTTGTTTCTCGTGCTGAAAAATACAAATGGAAAGGAATGGAAATGGCAACCAAGCAGTGGAAAAAAACCCCAAATTAGTTAGAGAGCATATTTCCCTTCCAGTCTGTCTTGTAGGTACTTTAGGAGACAGGATTTACTACATGGTGGAAACTGTTCAAGGTCCAGATCTCACAAACATTTTTGTGCATGTGAATTCCATTGAACTTAGCAAGATTGTTGGGATGAATGAAATTACTCACATGCATACCTGCAGGATCGGGGCTTAAAGAGGAGACTTTTCCCACAGGTGCCTAAGTGATTTAGGAGGACAAGACCCCTTAGCATGACCAGACAGCAAGTGTGAAAAATCAGGACAGGAGGTGGGGGGCAATAGAAGCCTATATAATAAAAACCCCAAAATCAGGACTGTCCCTATAAAATCGGGACATCTGGTCACCCTAAGAGCCCTTAGGCATTTTGGAAAACCCCACCCCAAATCAGCAACATGGTAGAGCACCAAGATCTATGGAGTGAGTGAAAAAGCGTTCACTGATAACAAACCCTCTAACTTGGTTACCAAGCCTAGGCCATTTTGTTAAATAGGGTTTGACAATTACTCGGCAGCTTAAATGTGAACTTTGCCACATTAGTTTGAACAAGTTTCCCTTCCCTTACTCCTACTTCAGCGATCTGTACTCCTAACCTTATACACTTTTCCTGGGCTCCTGCCATCACTAGCATATCAGGATATTTACTTGCACAGGCCCCGATCCTGCAATCTCATCCACTCAACTCAGAGATCTCATTGGGACTCCATGGAGGAGGAAAGGGTCCCCCTGCATGGATGAGGGTGCAGGATCAGAGCCCTTAATTTGTTACTGTTTCATCATTCCTTTCTCCCAGCATGCTGGAGTTAAAACATTTAGACACTGTGCATGAAGCACAAAGACAAGCAAATTGTTTGTTTGTTTTTTAAAAGAAATTGTACATTCCTGGCCAAGTGGTTTTCTTTTTTTAATTGGGGTCAGCAGGACGTTGGATGAACTCCAGACACCAGCAAAAGATCCTTCATTTAAACATACTTCATAACAAATACAATTCCAGCCAAGGGCCGAGAGGAGACTCACACTGGGCCAAATGGGAAACCCAAGGTCCCCCCCAGAACCTCTGGGGCTACTTGTTGCTGGATGGAGTCTGAACAGCATGTGTAGGTATAGCTGCGCCCCAGCACACCCTGCTGGCTCATCTTGGCAGAAGCAGCAAAACTGCTAAAACTATCATCTCAGCCACAGCAACAGCTCTGTCGACTAAAAAAACCCCCATGATTTAAAAAAAAAAAAAATCTAACATTTTTCTGTTTACTATTTTTTCCAGTGTCAAGGAGAATTTGCTATAGCGTATTTAAACCCGAGTGAATGTATGACATTATGGCAGAGAGAGGACAGTCAGTTGGACTGCATAGGCGCATAGGAATGGCAATATCTGATCAGAGAGACAAGGTGGGTGAGGTAATGTCTTTTAGTGGATCAACTTCTGCTGGTGCGAGAGACAAGCTTAAGATATTACCTCACCCACCTTCTCTCTATAATATCCTGGGACCGGCAAAAAGAGGTAAACAGTGAGGGCAAAATTTGCAGATGATGCAAAACTACTCAAAATAGTTAAGGCCCAAGCAGACTGCGAAGAGCAACAAAAGGATCTCTCAAAACTGGGTGACTGGGCAACAAAACGGCAGATGAAATTCAATGTTGATAAATGCAAAAGTAATTCACATTGGCAAACATAATCCCAACTATACATATGAAACGATGGGGTCTAAATTAGCTGTTACCACTCAAGAATGAGATCTTGGAGTCACTGTGGATAGTTCTCTGAAAAAACATCCAATGTGCAGCGGCAGTCAAAAAAGCGAACAGAATGTTGGGCATCATTAAGAAAGGGATTGATGATAAGACAGAAAATATCATATTGCCTCTATATAAATCCATGGAAAGCCCACATCTTGAATATGACGTGCAGATGTGGTCGTTCCATCTCAAAAAAGATACAGCGGAATTGGAAAAGGTTCAGAAAAGGGCAACAAAATGATTAGGGGTACGGAACAGCATCCGTATTAAGACGGATTAATAATACTGGGACTTTTCAGCTTGGAAAAGAGACAACTAAGGGGGAGATACAATTGAGGTCTATAAAATCATGACTGGTGTGGAGAAAGTAAATAAGGAAGTGTTATTTACTATTTCTCACAACACAAGAACTAGGGGTCACCAAATGAAATGAATAGGCAGCAGGTTTAAAACAAAGAAAAGGTTTAAAACTTCACATAATGCACAGTCTACCTGTGGAACTCTCTGCCAGAGGATGTTGAGAAGGCCAAGACTATAACAGGGTTCAAAAAATAACTAGATAAATTCATGGAGGATAGCTCCATCAATGGCTATTAGCTAGGATGGGCAGGAATGGTGTACCTAGCCTCTGTTTGCCAGTGGCTGGGAATGAGCAACAGGGAATGGATCACTTGATGATTATTGGTTATGTTTATTCTGTCAGGGGTACCTGACATTGGCCACTGTCAGAAGACAGGATACTGGGCTAGATAGACCTTTGGTCTGACCCAGTATGGCCATTTTTATGTTCTTATGACACGGCTACACCACCACTGCATTACAACATCTGATCAGGTCAGTGGTCCAAATAGTAAGTATCCTGTTACCATCAGTGGCCTACACTTGATACTCCAGAGGAAAGCATGGGGCACTTTGCAGTAGACAGTTATTAGACTACTAGACTAAATTGTCAAAGAGGAGCCCAAGCTAATCTTGAATTTGATAAGCTGATCATCTCTTTAAAAAAGAGATTTCTAAGTCCAGGTTTTGCTTCTCTTTTCTCCCCCCCGCCTGCCCACTTAAAGGGAGAAATGCTCTTCATTCTACATCCTGCTGCTTTGTAAGGGCTCATGTCGGAGGTTCTACATATGCTTCCTGCATCCTAGGGCAGCACATAGCAAACTTATTTTTCATTCTAAGAGCTCTCTCTTCCCCTCCCCCCGACTTTCCCATGATTTTCTTTTCATGTCTTCATTCATTGTCTTTTTATTTGCTTTCCCTGCTCCCGTCTGCCATCTGGAATAGGGGGATTTCTAATTTAGAGAGTAGGGATGTGTATCAGTCTGCTTTCAATGTAACTCAATGGGCAGTAACCACCATTGCAGGCAATTCAGAAGACTGTGGAGGTGCAATCTAGGACTCATCGCTGCCAAATTAAATTCCAGGATGTTACTATTTTTCCATTTAGAAAGATGTTTGGAGACTGGCTGAAGTCAGATGTGCTTCAGATGTTCTCTGCTTCCCAGCAGTGATGTTTCTGGCACTCGTTAGAAGTTCATTTCTCCCAGACAACTTGATAGGAGCCGGTCACATTGTTCTATTGTGCAATTACTAGAAGTGAGCTTGCAAACAAAATTGTTTCAATGTCCTTAGCTCGCCACCGGAACAACTTACCTAAGAGGTGTAGTCAATTTGCCATTGCTTTAAATCAAGACGGGATGTCCAAAAGATATTCTATAGCTGAAACAGAAGTTATGGGCTCCATGCAGAAATTACCGAATGTTTTGGGCTTTGTGTGCGCACTTGTGTTACACAGTAGATCAGACTAGATCATCATGATGATCCCTTCTAGCCTTAAACAAACAAACAAAAAAATATTAAAACTTTTTGATGGAGACAAGAATAGAAAGCAGCAGCATAGGAGTCACTTGGGAAGTGACTAGTCTCTGCTTCCTGGAGGAAAAATTCCAGCGAACCCAGCATCATGGCTAATGGCAAACATATGGTATAGTCAGAGGTGAGCAAGAGGAAAGTTTAGCAATGACTTACATATTAGGATTTTCCATATTGAGATTGAGAAATGGAGCATTGTAAGTACTATTGTAGTACCAAGTGGTATTAGGAATTTGTATTTCAGAAGCACAAATCAAGATCAGGGCCCCATTGTGTTAGGTGCTGCGCATACACACAGTAAGAGTCCCTGTCCTGAGAGCTTACAGTCTAAACAGACAAGGAAGGACTACCCTCTCCAGATTTCAGATGGGGAACGGACACACAGAGATTAAGTAACTTGTCCAGGGTCACCCGGCCCATGCAACAGTCCAGTGCCTTTACAACAAGGCAGCCACCCTTCCTCCTCAAGCCACAAATAGATGAGATACCAAATTCAGCCTTCTAGAAGCCAAATAGCAAGCACACACCCTCTTCAGAGATTCTGACCCAATTAGAAACAGACAAGTCCAGGAGCATGGGAGGCCTGATTTATTTTGGCTTTTGACAGTTGTAGTTCAGGAAGGACCTTAAGAAAAACGATCCTTCCTATAGGTGAAAAAACTAGCTGAACAAGAGGGCTCATAAAGAGCCCTAGTGAAAGGCAGCTCTGCAGGGTGGATGGCAGTTAATACCGGGGTGTACCCCCTGGGGTGGGGAAGGCGTTTGTGTTATTAAGTGTATTGAGAGTCATGATTCAAAGGGAGAAGTGGGCAGTGAGTTGTAGAAGTTCAGTGATGACAGATATTAAGGCTTGTTAAAAAGAGCAAGTTATGAAGATGGTAGGACAATCCAGGCAGATTTAAGCACACGGGTAGGTGAAGTTCACTTTGGATCACAATATAAAACATTACCATCTTGGCAAAAAATAGCTCACCTGATTGTATGTGCTGATGTGTTTTGAACCCGAAGGATCTGCTGAGGAAAAAAGACAAGAGGCTCACATCCCTGGTCCTGTGATATCCCCTTTATGCTGCCACAAAGGGACTTGGACTTGCCTTCAGCAGACAGCCAAGGACTCACCCAGCATGGAGAATCCATTTTCTATGCTGGCTCCATGACACCCAGTGCGTCCGAGCAGCCCGGGGTACTTTTAAGTTGTGCCAGGGCCAACATGGCCCAGTTACCCGCAGAATCAGCCTGCAGGCCTTGCAAAAAGTCAGTTTCTCTCCCTGTGCCCCCAAGGTGTGCTGAGTGCTACTGTGGCCTCAGAGGTTTGTGGAGATTTCCTCTGACAGATAACTCAGAAGAGCAGACACTCATGCAGTAGAGCTCCTTCGCAGGCATATGGTCAGAACCGAATACTTTAGATCAGTGCTACTCAAAGTGGTGGTCAGCGGACTGGTGCCGGTCCGCGAGCCATCGGCTGCCGGTCTGCGCGCACATTGGGAAAAAAAATTGCCGGTTCCCCATATCAGATAGCTTGAGAAGCATTGCTTTAGATGAGAGAAGCGAGGGGACGTTACTAGCGGCTCTATAGCACCAAGATGGCTGTAGGAGAGTGAGACGGATTCTTTTCTGGCTGATGCATCAACACCTCAATTGTTCATGTAGGTCCCTTTGCAGGATCATGAGTCTGTGAGGTTGCCCTCCATATGGTTTTATGAAAATATGCTGATGAGCGTGAATATAATGTAACTGGAATATGCTTCATGCAGAAGCTCTCTTGTAAGGTATCATTACAAAGCTTATAATCTACTGAGTGTGGTCATCCTATTTGTATGAATGTATCATTCTTGTATCTGAAACTAGAAATATGAAATATAATTCTGAGGTCCTATTGTAATTATGCAAATTGTGGGCCATTAATGGTGGTTTGGAATCTTGATGGCTCCCATTAAGCAGGGCAATTGACTGTAGATGACTATTTACTTGCAAGCCTTCCTGTGAGTCAGGCTGGGAAGAATGAAGGCTTGGGGTCTCACAGGACATGTGACCACATCACCTGGTACTGGAATCCATCTTAAACCTGGTGCTTTTCCATTTAGAAGGAGGGGTGGGGACCCAGAGAGAGAAAAGATTCCTGCCTTGTGCCAAAGCTATAAAAAGGGGGTGGAACAGAACTAAATAGGCAGCAGTCATGAGAATCCCTTACTTACCACCTGAGCTGGAACAAGGACTATACCAGGGAAAAGGATTGGGCCCAGACTAGGAAGGAGTCCAGTCTGTGAAAGAAGCTTATTGGAACATCTCCAAGGGTGAGATTTTATCTGTATTCAGTTTCCTACTGTATTAGGCTTAGACTTGCGTGTTTTATTTTATTTTGCTTGGTAACTTACTTTGTTCTGTCTGTTATTACTTGGAACCACTTAAATCCTACTTTTTGTATTTAATAAAAATCACTTTTTGCTTATAAATTAACCCAGAGTAAGTAATTAATTCCTGGGAGAGCAAACAGCTGTGCATATCTCCCTATCAGTGTTATAGAGAACGAACAATTTATGAGTTTACCCTGTAAAAAGCTATATACAGAGTAAAGCGGATTTATTTGGAGTTTGGATCCCATTGGGAATTGGGTATCTGAGTGCTAGAGACAGGAGCACTTCTTAGGCTGTTTTCAGTTAAGTCTGCAGCTTTTGGGGGACGTGGTTCAGACCCTAGGTCTGTGTTGGAGCAGACTCGTGTGTCTGGCTCAACAAGACAAGGTTCTGAAGGCCCAAGCTGCCAGGGAAAACAGGCACCTCTGCACTTTGATTCTGGCCACAAAGCAGCAAAATAGCATAAGAAAGGTTTTCTTGTGGCATTTCCAGCCTAACAGGAAGCAGGAAATACTGGAAATCTTGCAAGAAAAAGTGTGCTCTTGTGGGAAAGTTGCATCCAAATTTTGCGGAGTCAAGAAGTTTGGATGAACAACTACACCAAGCCCAGGACTTCTGAGGTTCGCCCGTCACTAGACCCTAGAGCATGTGGGAAAGAAACGGATTCTAGTCAAAGGTGGGCTGCCAAAGCTAGTAAATATGGCAAGCATATTTTGGTGCAGTTTTCTATTAATGTTAACATTTCAGCCAAAGGAGATATTTTAGTCAGCCCAGAACATTCGTGGAGGATCATTAAATGTATTTACGGCACCCCCTTGACTATGGTCCTGATGTAGGGCACCTCAGGAAGAGGCCAATTGCTTTTGAGATAGCAGTGAAAAGCAAGCCTTCGTGCTTGCCAACATCCCAATCTTGCACTGGTTTTGTGGCTAGGACAATGCGGTGAGCACATGTTTTCCTTGGCTAGCGGACAGGAGGCCAAATTCCCATGGGCTGGTTGCAGGATGAGGTACTCAGTTGGAAAAGACAGCAAGGATCAGATCCATGCAAGCTTTCCCTCCAAATATGAACTGAATGCAAATGTAGACTCCGATCCTGCATTGAAGTCAACGTGCTCTGTGCACCTACAGCTCATTTTCAGGATCAGGGCCTCGGAGAATGAAGGCTTTATCCTGAAAGATTAGCATTTCTGGTGAGCTGCTCTGTGCCACCAGTGGGCTTGAGGGCATTCAACCCTATGCAGGGGATTGGGCCCTAAGCTTGGAATTGTCCTGCTGAGCTAGTTCTATAAGCTGCGAAGAAATACCAGCTCACTTGCAAGATGTGTTTTGGGGGCGGGATGGGGAGGGGGAATATAGACAAATACAACATTGCATGCCCTCCAGGTCCCCTTTTATTGAGTGACTGAATACAAAAATAAGATCATATAGGTGCACAAATGCAATGATCTGCACCTTGGGAAGAACCATCTTAAATCAGCGGTAAGCAGTGTGTTAATAGCATCTTGTAAACAGTTCTCTTCACAAGCAGAAAGCTTCTTGAAACACGATGCTCACAATTAAAAACTCCCCAACACAGTCAGAGTAATACTTAGCACTTCTCATCCTGTGAGCCCAAAGTGCTTCATTGAAGGTGAGTGAGCATCATCATCCCCGTTTTACAAATGGGAATATGTGTGAAATTAACAAAACCCAAGAAACTGAAATCAAATGTAAACACAGAGCTTAGGAAGCACATACCATTCTCAGAGGGCGATGGCTCATCCCAGTAGCTTCATTTTACAATGCAAAAATCATTGGCAGAAGCACAGTTGGAAGAGTTCTAGAAATCACTACCGCTCTTATGGCAACCTGTTACAGTTGATAAAAAAATTTATAGAATACATGGCATTTCTCCTAAATTGCACCAGAAGTAATTTGGAAGCACTTTCAGTTTGTCTTATAAGCAAACAAGGGAAAGAACAAGTCACAGGCTTTCCATCTCCTTGATACGTATTTAAGCCTCTCTCAGCACCCCTGCCTCTCACATTTCTGAGTCCGCATACATTCCATTGATTAAGTAGTCCACTTGCGTATAGTCCTTTTTCTTATAGCTTTCATAGGCCTGCATGGCAAATAGAACTAAGACGGTTATGAAAAAAATGATACCAAATAGAAGTACTGCCAGGAGTGAACTGGTGTCCACCAAGTACCGAGTCAGAGGCCCAGTGGCAATCAGCAGATTGTCATAGTCTGTGTTTTGCTGACCTCTGCCAATGCCCAAGGCTGTTGTTTTGGGTGCATTTGTTGGACCCATGGTGGTAAGCTTAGTCAAGGAAGTACTATATGTTGTTATCACCCCAGGCCCACTGGTGGCCTTTGTCATTGGCTGGTTAGTTGCTGAAGTCTTTGCTCGGACTGGGATAGTAGGAGATGGCTTACCCGTGATATTCTGGGGCCTGTCCACTGTAGTTGTCAGGGGCTCAAGAGCTGATGAAGTAGCTTTGATTGTTGGCATTATGGGACTGGCACTCTCTGAAGATGGATTGGTGACTGCAGAATCTGGTGAATGTGTTTTCAAGTCCGGTAGGCTGTCGGTGGTTGTCGCTATAGATAAGCTTGTTGTCAGTAGGCCAACCCCCACACTATTAACTATGCTAGGCGTGGGAGTGCTGCGTGTGGCATCCCAAGGCAACCGGGAGGCAACGGTTACACTGGAATGCTCTGTCTGGGACACTACAGTCCTCACTTTCGATTCAGAAGTCGCAATAGTAGTTTGAGACAAGGGCGCTGGTGCCTTTGTAGTTCCTGAAGTGAACACCTTCTTACTTGTCTTTTCAAAGGTGGCTGTGGGCGTGGAGCTAGAAGTATCATTATTTGAAACGAGAGAAGAGGCAGCTGGAGACATGGTGCTGGTAAGGATAGCAGAATTACCTGTCAGAACCCCAAGGAGCTCTGCAGTTTCATTACCTGTGGCTGATGGAGCAGTTGTACTTATCTCACCTGGGGTTCCCTTGGTGGATTGGGTGGTGGTGGCTTTAATTACTGCTGGTGGGGTCGTTCTGGGACCTGTCATTACGGTCCTTACTTGAGCTGATGGTGAAGGTGGCACCGTTGCTCGACTCTCTGTCTGGTTTTCTTGGCTTGTGTCAGAGTCCACTTGCCTGCCGGTTCGGCCAGGTGGCTGTGCTTCTCTTTTCTTAAGGACAAGTTCTTTGAAAAAACAAAACACAAGGAAGTCCATAAGTTCAAAAACCAGTGGGCCTAATTCTGATCTCATTCACACAGAGGTAAGTCAGGAGTACTTCCTGAAGCAGATGGCATGCAGCTTACTTCAATGGAGTTACGCCCTATTTACTCCAATGTAAATAAGATCACAATCAAACCTAGCATATCCTCTATTATTTGCGTAAAGCCCTCTAATAAGCTGAACCCTTTTCTGGATTACCCTCTCTGCCAGGCACCTCTGTCATTTGTCTCTCCAGGCCTGGAACCCTCTGACTTGCTCAAAGGAAGAGTAACGCTTCAACTTTCAAACTGGTTCTCAAAAGCAGAGCAGCAATACCCCTCACTCTGACCTGACCAATGAGGGTCAGAAGCCAAAGGCCTGTGCTCTTATATGTTAAAAGGCACCATTCAAGGCCTTTATTTAGGTCCATAATTTTACCCCTCTTAAAACTTTTTGACAGATTTCCCTTAAATACGTAAGGCGCCTCAGCTGATGATCAGGCTTTTAGCAGCATGAATCCTATAAGCATTAAAAGAGGTAAGCCGTTAAATCCTCAAGCAACCTTTGACAATGCAAAATGAACCACGGACGAGCTCGAGGGAGGTTTTTTTTTTTTTTTTTTTTAAATTTGTGTACAGAGGAATTTTTAAACACATTTCAAGATTGGTTCCCCAATTGCCAACAAGCTCCATTTCATTGTGGTGTCACTTTTAATTAAAATTTAAGCCCCTGCTGTTGTAAAACCATGGCTAGCAATTGCTGCGAATGCCTTTCTGATTACCCATGCAGCGTGCCACTTCTGGCATGACATCCTGGCAGTCAAAGGAAATCCAATCCCAAGGTGTCCTCCTTTCAGGGTTCCTCCACCCCGTTTTTTGTTTGTTTTTTTAAAGCCCTTCTGGTTGTGTCTTCCAAAAGGACAGAGTATAGGGTGCAATAGGTGAGCCCTTTCACAGGGACAGGCTAAAAATCATGTTTCTTTAAAAACCACACCATGTTCTTTCAATATTACAACTACCAGAAGAGACAATGGGACAAAATCTTCCAATGGACAGATTCTAAAGTATAAACATATCTTGTGCTCCCCCTTCTCAGCCAGAGGTGCAGCAAAGCGCTGAGTGTATAGTACTTAGTATGATGCAATCTTATTATCTTAAAGGTGACTGCGCCATCTCGTTTTACAAGGAGCCCGACAGTGTAAAATTACCTCCAAGTAGATCTGTAATGTCCTGAGTGCTGGCATTCTGACACACATACAGATGGCAACAGTGTAAAAGGACACAGCGATTCTGATAGAACACTGACCAGTTGCAGTAACGATTACCTAAAACACAAGACAAGAGGCCACATAAATGGAAGGAAGTCCTGATTTTAAAAAACACATCAGACCCAGTGTGGTCCTGGGATTTTACCCTTAGCAAAGCGATTTAAAAAAATAAAATCTCTCTGTGCCATGTGTTTTCCTTTACACACAATAGAAAAATGGACCAAAATGTGCTATATACAAAGCTCTCTACTTTGTAGTTTCAATTCCAAGTTAACTTGAATGTCCTACAAACTTCATAACAGGAACCTCTGTTATGAAACCCATAACAATCAGCGTTCCAGCAGGATCACATTCAGACTTGGCCGAAGTGGCTGGAATTCCAGTGAAACCAATGGAGCTGCACCAGGTTTGAATTTGGTCCAGGTAGGTCAGTTCACAGAGCTCCCCACTTGAGTCCACTGGAACCAAATATATCACCTTGAGAAGCCCAACAGCCCTGCTACTGGCCAATTAAAAAAAAACATTAGAGGAGTCCTACCTGACCTCATCTGCTGGAAAGGTCACATCATGACTAAAATTTGTACTCCTTTTAAGACAGTGCTGAGAGAGACCTCTTTTTACTGGTATCTTCCCCCACTCCACAAACTAATGCACTCCGGGGTGTGAAGTCCCAAAGTATGTGAAATGATCGTGACTGTGACCCTAGGACAGGGGAGGGCAAACTATGGCCCACGAGCCAGATCCAGCCTGTCAGGGCTTTCAATCCGGCCTGCGGGATTGCCAGCTCCATGGCACAGCGGGGCTAAGGCAGGCTCCCTGCCTGCCCTGGCCCCTCACTGCTCTCGGAAGCAGCTGGCACCACATTCCTGCGGCCCCCCCCCACAGCTCCCATTGGCTGGGAACGGGGAACTACAGCCAATGGGAGCCTTGGGGGGTGGAACCTGCTGCAGGCGAGGGCAGCGCAGTAGAGCTGCCTGCCCCACTCCACCCTTAGGAGCCACTGCCGGACATGCTGGCCCCCTGCCCTGAGCCCCCTGCTGCACTCAGCACCCCAACCCCCTGACCTGAGCCTTCTCCTCCACCCCAGTCCCCTGCCATGAGCCCCCTAACCCCCTGCCTTGAGCTCCCTGCACCGAGCCCCCTTCCGCAGCCCAACCGCCTGCCCTGAGCCCTGTCCCGTAACCCGCACCCTTGCCCTGAGCCCCTTCCTGCACACTGCACCTCCTCCCACACCCCACACGCCCTCCCTCATCCCAACCCCCTGCCCCAGCCCTACATTCATAGCCCTGCATGCAATTTCCCCACGCAGCTGTGGCCCTTGGGCCAAAAAGTTTACCCACCCCTGCCCTAAGAGTATATCTACGCTGCAGTAAAAGACCCACAGCATAGTTGTGGCTGGCTGGGCCTGGGCTGGAGACCAGACTCCGAGACTCCCTGAGGGGAGAGGACCTCAAAGCACAGGCTCCAGCCTGTGCCCAAATATCTACATTGCATTTTTTAGCCCCACAGCCCAACCCCAGATCAACTGACCCAGGCTCTGAGACTCGGTGCCATGGGTTTTTTAATTGAAGTGTAGAATGTACCTTAAGATCTGTCCAATGCCCACTGGCAAAGGGTTCACTGCCATGTAAGAGGAATGCCTATCAGGCCTGAAACTCTCTAAACCTAACACATGGCCATCATATTTACCTATAAAAAATGTGTACGATATCAAAGGAAAGCTGGTGACATACTGGTCATTAATATCACTGTGAAATGTATGTATCAAGAAAGAATTATGGATACTTACTGATACTATACTTTAAAATCTGTAACCAAACAAAGAGAGAAACGGATTTCCTTTCAGAAAGAGAGAGGAATAGTTATCTTCTGTCTCTAATGCAAATTGAGTGTGGTGATGCCAGAGGCATTGGAGAGAAACAGGAGAACAAATTAATATGAAGATATGGATTCAGCATAGGAAGACACAGGTTCATCCTGACTCTAGTGACAAAGACAAACTTCGGAGAAAATAGGGAGAAGCAAGAAAACATTTTGTTATTCTAATGAGGAAAAAGAGTTCAGCACTATTAGCATTCCATGAATGGGGTGGGTGATGCTGAAAGGTTGCATTTGGTAAAAAGCTTCTCTTAGACAAGGACTGTAACCTGTTAAGTTTTAGGTTTCAGAGTAACAGCCGTGTTAATCTGTATTCGCAAAAAGAAAAGGAGGACTTGTGGCACCTTAGAGACTCACAAACCCACTCTCCTGGGGGGGGGGGTGTTAGAAAACCTGGATTTGTGCTGGAAATGGCCCAACTTGATTTTCTCACCCCCCCCCCCCCCCACAAACCCACTCTCCTGCTGGTAACTGCTTATCTAAAGTGACCACTCTCCTTACAGGTTTCAGAGTAACAGCCGTGTTAGTCTGTATTCGCAAAAAGAAAAGGAGTACTTGTGGCACCTTAGAGACTGTACAAGTTTTTTCATGCAGTTGATAGATTTCCACTCCATACGGCTAAATGCAGTGCCTAAGGTGCCACAAGTACTCCTTTTCTTTTTACTCTCCTTACAATGTCACTTTAGATAAGCTACTACCAGCAGGAGAGCGGGTTTGTGTGTGTGTGAGTAAACCTGGATTTGTGCTGGAAATGGCCCAACTTGATTATCATACACATTGTAAGGAGAGTGATCACTTTAGATAAGCTATTACCAGCAGGAGAGTGGGGTGGGAGGAGGTATTTTTTCATGCTTTGTGTGTATATAAAAAGATCTTCTACACTTTCCACAGTATGCATCCGATGAAGTGAGCTGTAGCTCACGAAAGCTTATGCTCAAATAAATTGGTTAGTCTCTAAGGTGCCACAAGTCCTCCTGTTCTTTCTGTTAAGTTTTAGTCTCCAGAAAGTGTGATTATACTTTTATTTGTAACCATTTTCCTGTTTCTATTATCTCTGCTTAGTATCACTTAAATCTCTGTTCTTTATTAATAAACATTCTTATTTTATCATAAACTCATGTTAGATGGAGGTGTGCACCCTCAGCTGAGCCAAGTGTGTATTCTGTCTTTTCTGAGGCAGCGGGCTTGGTATTTCTGTTGGCATCCAGTGACAGGGGCTGGATGCTGCATGGAGATGCTTCTGAAGGGTCCAGGAACTGAAATACACCAAGCGTTAACCTGTAAGGCAAAGTGAGGACTGGCAGGGTCCTAAGGAGTTTGTTTGGCTGGCTAACAGCCTAAGGTCGCAGGGAGCTGTAACACAGTATAGCAAAAGAAGAATTTATTTGTTGGTCCTAAGGCAGAAGGGTAAGAGTGATTTACAGTTTTGGACCCCCAAGAGAGTGTGTCAGTGATCTAATGAAAATATAGTCAAGTGAACGTGGGAGGAGACTGTACAGGATGGCTAGCCAGAAAATGGGGAGTGCTTGGAACAGAGTCACAAGGGACTAGTCAGGCAGTGTCCAACTGGTCAGTCAGAAGCCAATTACACTATACTCATTACTCCTGACAGAATTCTGCACCCGTGGGGGTGGGCTGGGCCTACATGCCAACAAGCGAGAGAGAGCGCAAGCGCCTCTGTCCCTCTTGCGTGCTACTACAGCTAGCTGGTGTGGAAGGGTAGAGCTTTTTATTATGCACGAGGCAAGCAAGAGTCAGAAATGTAGCAGTCTGCCTGAGTTAACTGACCTCATTCTCTGAGGCAGACATGTAGCAGCCTGCCTACGTAGTAACACTGTTAACATTCCTATTGTTAGTTAATGGTTTCCATTCTCAGTCAATTGCCCCAGGAGCATAAAACCTGTTAAAGGTTTAAGGCCCTTACATTGCCAGAGTGATGTAAAGGAGCCTTATTATAAATGATAGTGAGGGAATCCTCAGCTAGGAAGGTCTATGTGCTTTCTCACTTTTTTCCTGTGCCAAAGTAGCACAACGGGGTTAGATTACAGAGCAGGATTTATTTTACTTATCCATTAAAAAAAAAAAAGAAAAAAGACTTTGAGGGCAAATAGAACATTTACCAAGCAGTCAAAGTGTCAGGACAATCAGAACCAAGCACTTCCCAAAGTGCCCAGCCAGGTCCAGGACAACGATTAGCAAAACTGTATGACTTTCATGTGTGAAAGTCTGAGCAATTTAAAATGACATTTTTGTCTTTTTTTATTTGCGGTTTGGTGTTCTGTAATGTAATTTAAATGAAAATCCAGAATTACAACTGGAATGCAGGGTATTAGTTACCAAGTGTTTATAACTTAACTTTCATGTGTTTAGGAAATGCTGAATATTTGTGATTTTTTCTGTATTGTAGCTTAAATAAATTACCAAAACAATTGAAACTGGTGTGATTATATTGCATTATTTTGACAAATAGAATAAGCAGATTTTTGAATATTCTGGCATAGAATCCAGCCAGGAGTAACTCATACATAGTGGTATACGGAGTGATTCACCTTCATACACTCTTAAAAACATTAAGTGTGAACAGGGGGAAGAGCAATCATATGCTGCATGTAGTGTGTTTTTTGTTTAAAGTTATCCCCAAAGCCACTGGTCCTCACCAAGGATTAAGACTATGGCAATCCTGAAATTATAAAAATAAGCCATTTACATTACCCGAGAATAAAAAAAGCATCTAGAAAATTTCTTAACTTGTGGGGAGGGGGGAAAAAAGCCTTTACATTCTTCGGCAGCTCAGAAAACAGCCTAGTGGAATTTCCCTGAGTTGCCTGGTGATTGGGGCATTCAGCGCTTCTCAGGGTCAGGCCCTTAAGATTCTAAGCCACTTGGGCCAGAAATGACATCTTCAGTTCAGCTGTATAGGACAGAACACACCCGCAGTGCATGGCAAATTATAATCAAATCGCATGCATCAGGGCAGAAGCTGATCGTGGCAGGGGTTAGGAAGGAATTTTTCACCCCATACATTACGTGCACAATTGGTCAGGTGTGTAAGTTTCCCAGTCCTACCCTATCACCTGCCTTTGAAGCACCGCAGAATACCAGGCTAACTGTATTGAACTGGTATCACAAATCCTGTAATACCTGTGTTTGGAGGAGGAAAAAGCCCCTAATACCCAACAACATATTTTCTACCATGTCTGTATACTCAATTAGTAAGTTACTGGAGGTAAAAAAAAAAAAAAAAAAAGGGAGAAAATAAAACCACTCAAAGATACTTTAAAGGGAATCGTGCAGGGGGCAGGACCCAAGATCTGGCCCTCCACAGGATGGACTTTTTAAACACAATATATATATTAAAAAAAATCTCAGCCTCTGAGACAAGGAACAGAACTGTGAAGATCTCTGCAGACAAGCAGGAACAAAGCCTGCAGGTGTGCGGAGAGCAAGGATGCTGGCCCTCCATTCTCCTGTACTGGGTAGAATGTCCAATAATTATGACACTTTAGCTCTGCTCTTCTCAGCGAGCTGGGGATTGAAATTCCCTGAAATCTTATGCTCCAAAACACATAAGTATTCCCTGTTTCTAGCTAGATAAAGAAAACTTCCAGAACTGTGCAACATACACAAGCCAATCCCCTCCCAATACCAATCCCTCCCACTACAGTCATTGGTTTTGCTCGTCCAGTACCTGGGAATTCCAGGCCTCAGTATCCTTGCCAAAAGATGAGAGATTTCTCCATCATTATTTCCATCATGGTAGCATCAGGAGGCACTAGCCTAAACCCCTTGTGCTAGGCAGTGTACAAGCATATAACAGAGACAGTCCCTGCCCCAAAGAGTTTACAGTCCAGTAGCAACTCTTCCCCAGTGAAGATGCAGCTGTATTGGTTTAAAGTGCTTGATCAGTATAGTTTATTCCCATATGAGAAGGGGAATAAGCTATACTAGTGTAAATCACCTTCATACCAGTCTAACTGCTTCCACATTAGGGCTTATAACAATAGAACTATATAGGTAAAAGAAAATCACCCCTGAACTAGCATAGTTATAGCAGTATAACTTTTCTAGTTTAGACCAGGCCTAACAATACAGACTGATACCTTCATGTTGTCAAATCTCATATTTTGGGGCTTAAGTAGGGGTCAGGAAAGGAATCCACACCTTTCTCCAATGTATTTTGGATTTGGGTTTTTTGGTCTTCCTCTGAAGCATCAGAGATGGCCACAGCTGGAGAGGAGAGAGATTAGGCGGAGTGGGACAGTGCTTTAAGATGGTACTGAGGATCTAACTGATCGCTGTTTTTGGAGTCAGAAAGGAATTTCCCCCATCAGATTAGTGGTGATCACAGTTTCTTCCCCCGCCTTCCTCTGCAGCATGTGAGTGAGGGGGACTTACCAGAATTATCTAGGTCTCTCTCACTAACTCAATTCTCTGCCATTACAAGGGCTTCAGGCAGCGGTGCACCTTGACCCCTTCTATTCTCTGCCTGTGGCACCCAATAGTTTAGTCTTTGGAGAGCTGTAACACTTTGGCCTAATTTTAGTTGTTGGGGTTGGTGGGGAGGAGGGTTGCTGGGTGGGGTTGGTGGCCTGTGATATACAGGAGATCAGACTAGATGATCGGGTAGTCCCTTCTGGTCTTAAACTCTATGACCTTGTGCTCCCCTCATCCATTTGTAACAAAGGGTTTTTTTTGGGGGGGGGGGGGCAGGGAGAGAGTAAAAAAATAAAAATAAAATTTAATTGGGGAGGGTAGAAGCATAGAACAAGAGATGTATTTTGGATATGTAGCTCTAGTAATATCCTTAAAAATAACCAATGAAAAGGAAGGTGGATTCATTCCTTTCTTTCCCGATAATCTTTCAACACATAGTACATTCTTGCAGGAGCAAAGGCGACTGAGAAATTTGGAGACATAAACCATCCATCCTGCATCTACCATGACCAGGGTCAAACTGTGCCAGTCTCATGTGAGATACCAAACCAGCACATCTCTGATGGCACCAATGGTTTTTACAAAATTGGATGGATTAACCCTTCCCCAAAGCTCTGATTCAGAAAAGCACTTAAGCACATGAAAGTACTGCAAACTCCAAGCATTCAAAAATCAGGAGACCGGCTTAAAAACAAACAAACAAAAAAAAAGTTTTAAAAAATAAAGAGATTCAGAATTTAGTATTTTCCTTATGATTCACATTTGCCAGCTTTTCTCTGCAGCCATGAGGGAGAATTTTTTTTTTCAATGAAACTGGGATTCTCATATAATCACATGACTCCAGGAGCAACAGGTGCTCCGTAAATCAATAAAATCAGCATATAGGTGCAGTGTCCCCCCAGGCTGACAGCTGGAAGGGCAGAGGCCAAATTTTTCCAACTTTAGGGCTTAAGATCAGAACCTTGTAAGTGGTTGCTCTTTATGCCACAGCGCCTCCTGGTGTTAGGGTGTTGCAGGGACTTCGCCTTTAGAACCTCCCACCCAGCCCAGCCAGTGGCCACTTCCTGGACCCTGTGATGATCTGTCTCTGTTCAAATCTTCCATGGCCTGGCCTGGCCTCTAGTCAAGTCAATTAGAAGTTCAATCTTCCTTCAGCTGGACATTTGGTTACCCTAAAAGTTCAAATTAATATCCAAACTAACAGTTCCTCTGCCCCTCTTTGGCTACACTGAAGTTCTCTACTCCTGAGCCCTGCAGAGCTTCTCCTATGTGGCTTCTTCCCAGCAGGTTTCCCCACACTCCCCAGGAACTCCAACAGCTTCCATCAGGGATTTCCTTGCAGGCCCTTTCTCAGTTCTTTTCTCCTCACCGCCCCCAAAACATTAGCCTGACCTGCTCCCTGTGGGTCTCCTCCAGCTTGACTTGCCCAAACCCTTCCCAGAGAGGGAAATCTGTTGGCTCCCCTCTAGACTGAGTTCACAGTAGTCGGCCTCTCCCCAATATCCTACCATTGGGGTCACTCATCAGGTCTCCATCATTCTGGGGGATATGCTGTCTATCAGAGACAAGGCTGAGCCCAGCTTATTAGAAAGGGCCAGCCAGCCTGTGACACGCCTAAATAAATGGCCTGATTTTCCTGACACCTTTGAGGGAGAGGAAGGGGGAAAAACCCCAAAAAACAACAAACAACACATCAAGCCACACATTCGTAAAATTCTGAGCATAAAATGCATTTTCATGTTCCCCAAGGGCCTGACATGCCAGGGAATCCATGTGTTATGGAAGCTGAACTAAACCCTCTCAGGAACACGTGAGTATCTCACACACTGCAGCACTGCTCTGACTTTACAGAGATCAAAATTTTCAAAAAAGTGATTTTTTGGGCCCAAATGGAGACACCTCAAAAGGGACCGATCAGAAAATGCTGAGCACCCACCCTCTGAAAACCTACGGCATCTCAAGTTATGCACCCAAAATATCACTAGTCAGTCACTTTAAATTATCAAGTCTCAGCCAAGCTAGTGAAGGGTTAAGCAACTAGCTTCTTTCAAGACAGAAAACATGGAAGTGTGAAGATCAGTGAACTAAGATTGCTCAACCAGCACAGCTGTCTGCTGTAGCAACGTTCGCTTACAAACATCTGGCTGCATGGTACGTTGATAGAGTAAAGTGACCTCACACCATTCACACGCACACTATCAGCACTCACGCACGCTGCTTCTTATGGAAGCTAGAAAGGCCCTGGGAAATGGCTGCTCTGTTTTCAATTTAAACCAAAGCTGTCAGAAATTATTGAGCCACCACAGAACTGCACACAGAAGCCATAGCTATAAATGCTTGTAAACAAATGGAGTAAAAAGGAGAAATGTGGGGGGTGGGGAAGAGCCCTTTAAGAACATGGAAACCCAGACAGATTTTATGCTAAAGGAAGACCAGCTCACCTGAAAGCGATAGGCCTCTACAAGCGCGTCTGCAATGCTTTTCACTGCTCAGCCGGTTTATTCGTATCACCCGAGTGCCTCTCTCCTTTAAGGTGGAAATTCTGTTTTCAGATATGCCCAGGGAAATCAACAGGAAAAAAACAACAGCAGTCCACATCTTGAAGGCTGGCCTTGGAATCACACTATTCTCCCCTAGAGCTGGTTGTGCAGGAGAAGCATTTGCCAATTACCTTCGGGTCCTAAGCGACATATCTGTCAAACGGAAATATTAAAAAAAAGAAAAAAATAGATAGGATAGATCAAGAGGATGCATTAAAAGATTTAAATAGTTCTTAACTCCTTTTCATCTATAGATCTCACAGCACTTTATAAAGGAGGGTAACCATCATTATCTCCATTACACGGATAAAAAAACAGGTAGACAGAGGGTGTAAGAAGTGACTTGCCCAAGGTCACACAGGTCAGTCAGTGGCAGAGCAAGGACTACAATTCTGATCTCCTTAGTCCAGCACTTTACACACTGGATCATGCTGAAAACCACGCAAGACAGAAGCTGCAGCTCCTAGCTCATAGTTTAGGAACTAAGTTTCCAAAGGTCCCAAGTCAAGACGTTTTAAGGCCCACACATGCACAACATATACTCAACACAGACATGAAAGAGCTATTGAAAATGTAACAAATTCCTCCTTATGTCATTCTGATCGTGTCTGGGGGAGCTTGTCCAACCACTGTTGAAGCAGATCATGCAGAGGCTGGAATAGCACAGCGGGAGTCAACCACAAACCATATGAAAAAGGTGATGAGATGAAAACGTGTGAACTAATTCCAGCAGATGTATCAAGATGTTAACTGATACCCCAAACCAACATCAAACCTATGGAAGTAGGCTAATCCAGGTACAAAGCTGCACAATTGGAGCTTTAGAGTCAGACAGGCTGGCAGGCAGTGTTCAAAACAGTGAAATTAAAAGAAAAACCATGTAACACGCATAGCAAAGAGACTAAGCTGAGCACCACAGTTCAGGTCAGGTGTCAGAACCCACCCAAAGTTTAAACCCATGGTTTTCATCACTCCTTACAGACACAGCACAGCTTATGTGGGAGGATGACTGCACATAGCCTCAAGTTTCTATCAGTTTGCAGCCTTTGTGATGGGAGGACGACATTTACACATTACAGGCCCACGTCAAGCAAGACGTGTGGGTGTCTCACGCTGACGTACGAGCCCCACAGGAAACATGGGAGAGTGGACATGGCCACTGTGGTTGGATATAGGGGTACCTAGTCCTGCTAAAGTTCTGTCAACTTGGTAGAACAGGAGAAGAGTACAGGGATCTGTACACTTGACACATGCCTAAAACTGGCCCTGCTTTTATGTCAGGAAATGCCCAAGAACAGTGGTCACCAACCGGTCGACCGCGATAGACCCTAGAGGATCTCCCCGTCAATCGCGATCTCTGGCAGCACAGCGGGGCTCCTGCTAAGATGGGCTCCCTGCCTGCTCTGACCCCATGCAGCTCTTGGACGCGGCCAGCGCAGCTGGGGTCTCCCTCCACATGCTACTCCTGCCCGCAAGCACCAGACCCGCGGCTCCCATTGGCCAGGAACGGGGAGCTGTGGCCAATGGGAGCTGCAGGGGCGGTGCTTGCAGAGAGGGACAGCGTGTGGAGCCACGCGCCGTGCCCCCTCCAGGGGCTGCAGAGGCATGTTGGCCCCTTGCACGAGTGGCATGGGGCCACGGTAGGCAGGGAGCCTGCCTTAGCAATAAGTGCTACCCAGCAGAAGGCCGCACCCCAAGCCCCAGAACTGAGCCCCCTCACTAAGCCAGCACCCTGTACCCCCTCCCCCAGCCTAGCCCCCTCCCAGAGCCCCACCCTGAACCCCCTCCTGCACCCCAACCCTCTGCCCCAAGCTTAGCCCAGAGCCCCCCCCCACACTGCGAACCCCTCAGCTCCAGTCCAGACCCTGCACCCCCTCCCGAACCCCAACCCCAGTGAAAGTGAGCAAGGGTGGGGGAGAACGAGTGATGCGGAGGGAGAAAGAGATGGAGTGTGTGGGGCAGGGCTTTGGGGAAGGAGCAGGGCAGATCCTGGGTTGCCCTTAAATTCAAAAAGCGATCTTGGGCATAAAAAGGTTGGAGACCGCTGCCCAAGAACATTCAGGTAACAACTGGTTCAGTGCAGCTTTCAGTTTCCTGCCAATTCCAAAGGTTAATTTAAAAATTCCTTTTAATTCCAAATCGAGCTGTGAGTCCAGGTAACCCAGGAAACCCCAAGAGATCACACACTGCCCCAGCGGTTAGTGGACCAAATTCACACTGCTCGTAGTCTAGCAGACTTTGTTCCTCTATATGCAACTAAGTGGGCAATGTCCCTTCCCACATTCCTAGCAAGAACAATAGGTCCTTGTCCAATACCTGTTCCCACTGAAGTCAGTGGAAAAGTTACCATGGACTTCAGTAGACTTTGGATGAATCATGCCCTTACCTTGTAACTGGAGTGATTCTGCTGCCTCAGAACTTGAAGTCTCGGAGGTAAGCCTGTACTTACAAAGAGTTCAGCATGGACTAGATTGGATGCTTCCAGGGCTTTTCCCTACAGGACTTTCAGAGCCACCCTCCTCCTTCCTCATTTAAGCAAGTCACAAACATCTCACAGGCAGGTATGACTCCTCAGCTGGAGCTCTCTGTAAAAATGCAAGCTTGTTCCACAACAAGGTGTGTGTGGAGAGTGGGCATACCATAGAGGAGGATTATCTGACCATCTTCCTGTCCAGTCAGAAAGGAGGTTTCCTCGGCATCCTGTTATAGCCATCGACACAATGAGTCTCTCCAATCAGTGCCATGCTTACAGTTTGAGAATCTCTGAAGTTGAGGATTCTGAGAAAGCATTGACCAATGCTTACCAGCTCATTGTACCTATCCATATATTGCTACAGTGCACCTGGGGCTGTGGAATCCGGGTGCTAATTTTTCTTGGTCATTTACATTTTCAGAACCTTGCACAAGGGATTAGATTCAACAAAATGCAGGACTGGAAGGGACCTCAATAAGTCACCTAGTCCAGTCCCCTGCACTGGGTCAGGGCTAACTATTATCTAGACCATCTCTGACAGGTGTTTGTCTAACCAGTTCTTAAAAACCTTCAGTGATGGAGATTCTAAAACATCCGTAGGTGATTTGTTTCACTACTCAACAACCCCTACAGTTAGGAAAAACTTCCAAACGTCTAACCTAAATCTCCCTTGTGAAAATTTAAGCCCATTACTTCTCCTGTCCTCAGTGGATGAGGAGAACAATTTATCACCCTCCTCTTTAAAACCACCTTTTATGTATTTAAAGACTGTTATATCCCTCCTCAGTCTTCTCTTTTCCAGACTAAACCCCAATTTTTTTTCACAATCTTTCCTCATAGGGCATGTTTTCTAGACCTTTAATAATTTTTGTTACTCTCCTTTGGACTTCCTCCAATTTGTTCACCTCTTTCCTAAAGTGCGGTGGCCAGGACTGGACACACTACTCCTACTTGAGGCCTTATTAGTGCTGAGTAGCATGGAAGAATTACTCCTCATATCTTGCTTACAACACTCCTGCTAATACATCCCAGAATAATATTCACCTTTTTTGCAACACTACATTGATGACTCATTTAGTTGGCGATCCACTATAACCCCCAGATCTTTTTCTGCAGTATTGCTGCCTAGCCAGTTATTTGCCATTTTGCATTTGTGCAATTAATTATTCCTTCCTAAGCGGAGTACTTTGTATTTGTCCTTATTGAATTTCATCTTATTTATTTCAGGCTATTTCTCCAGTTTGTCAACATCATTTTAAATTCTAATCCTTGTCCTCCAAAGCACTTGCAACTCCCCCTGGCTTGGCATCCTCCATAGACTTTGTAAGTGTATGCTGTATGCTATTATCCAAATCATTTATGAAGATACAGAATAGAACTGGTCCTAGGACAGACCCCTGCAGGACCCCATTCCATAGGCTCTTCCAGCTTGACTGTGAACCATTGATAACTACTAAGTATGGTTTTCCAGCCAGCTATGCACCCACCTTGTGGTACGTTCACCTAGACTATATTTCCCTAGTATGTTTATGAGAAGAAGGTCATGTGAGAGAGTATCAAAAGCCTTATTAAAGTCGATAGCTAAACAAATCCCCGCAACAGCCTATGAGGACGTAGGTCAGTAAGTCTGATTATCCCCATTTTACAGTGGAAGAAGCTGAGGCACAGACGTGATGCCAATTGCTCAAGCCAATAGAGCAGTAGTCCAGTGAAACAGCAAGTGACTGAAGCAGGAACAGAACTTGGGAGCCCTATTTGCAGGGCACACAGGTCTGGTCTATTCCTAAAACCAAGCTATGTCTCTGAACGTAGCTAAACCAACCTAAGCCCAGTGTAGACACCGGTAGGTTGACGGGGGAATTCTTCTTTTGACCTAGCTGTTGCCTCTTGAGCGGATGGATTTACTACAGTGACAGAAAAACCCCTCTCGTTGCTGCAGCAACTGTCTACACTACAGTGACGCAGCACTTGCGGTGTAGAGGTATCCAAAGTCACAATGCCTTAAAATTCTGCACATATCAACAATCTATCCCAGTTATACTGCGAGCCTGCTCAAGAGATGCAAAAGCTTTGTTCTGGTGAAAGGTGCTATTTTGTGCTCATTGCAAACACGCTTAAATTGTCTGAAGTTACAAGGGAAAGGGGAAACCACCTCTGATTTTAGCTGCATGCTCTTCTTGAGCTGCAGCCTGTAGCAGACAATGCAGCACCACATTCTCTATGTGCAAGCAGGAATTACGCCTCAGCCAAGAATTCACACTCTGGCCAGCCCTCCTGCTGGTTAGAAATATTTCTGAGACTGACTTGGCAAGAGTAGACTTGTTAGAGAAATACAGCTCGTGAGCCCCATCTAGTCTTGTTCCAAGAGAACTGCTCCTGCTTTCCTTTTAGGATTTGCTAAGGCCCTGTTTACATTACGCACTGGTTAGACATTGATGTTGCTGCTCATACAGCCCTGGTCTACACTAGGACTTTAGGTCGAATTTAGCAGCATTAAATCGATGTAAACCTGCACCGGTCCACACAATGAAGCCCTTTATTTCGACTTAAAGGGCTCTTAAAATTGCTTTCCTTACTCCACCCCTGACAAGTGGATTAGCGCTTAAATCGATGTTGCCGGCTCGAATTTGGGGTACTGTGGACACAATTCGATGGTATTGGCCTCCGGGAGCTATCCCAG